AATGGAAAAAGGGCTTTTTAGGCAGTAGGGGCAAAGGGAATTACAAATATTTATATATTATAACTGGGAAACGGATTTTATACACACACATATACTACATATCTATATGCATTTACTCTGTGCGGACAAAGGGGATGAGTGTGTGTGTGTGTGTGTGTGTGTGTGTGTGTGTGTGTGTGTGTGTGTGTGTAAACACAACATAGGGAAAAGAGATTTACATATAAAACCTATATATTTTTACTCATACCTAATATAGATAAACTCGCTTTTTCTTGTTTAGGGGTGTGTATGTGTATGTACACACACGCGCGCGTGCACGTACACACATACATATAAGTATACACCTCCCCCCCCACCAGGGAAATGGGGTTTTATCTATATTTTATATACAGATCCCTTTTCCCTTCACTTTCTCCGTATCACCAGTTTGCCCTCCCCTCGGTTTCCCCCTTGCATTCTAAGGTGAGCTTCGTGCTCCTGGAAGGGGTCTGGAGACTGCCACCCCCCGCGGATCTCTGGGCACGGCGCAGCATGCAGCTTTCTCCGTGTTCGTTCCCACCACTCAGCTGGAGAGGCCGCCCCAGCCTTCCAGGATAAAAAGGGATTGTGTTTCCAGGACTCATTCAGTCCGTGGCCTGTGCGAAGCCTGCTGCTAAGGAGGTGGCTCACCCCAGCTGTGGTGACAAACATGGCATTTCTTCTGCACTTCAACCAAAGTTCAAGCACTTAACAAATCTCAGCTCTTTGGGGGCAGTTTCTCTGCCCGTTCCCTACCCAGCGCAGCCCCTCCCTGTTCCCTACGACTTCCTCTGGGCAGCACACATTTCCCTGAGCCAGCCCACAACTGCTATGGCTCCACGTCCTTCAGCAGAACTTCTAGTGCCACCTTCCACATGAACTTCTGCCCGAGGCCCTGCAAGCCGAACACATCCTGGATCTGCACTCAATTACAACCAACGGACAGATGCCAGTCAAACTGGCACCTCCCGCGCTGTGCGGCTGGGCTAATTTCACAAATACGCTGCCCTTTATAGCTGCAGGGGTGCTGCTACTTTTGCGCATTGCTATGCACAAACCTGATGAGAAAAGCAACCTTGCTTGAGCAATTCCTTTCTCCGGAGTACTTACTAGCTTTAACCTCAGCAGTGTAAGGGATGAAAGAGCCGGCAAAGCCCTTACAAGATGGCAAAGGAAGGCAACAGCATGGGCAGCTAGCGAGAGGTTCTTTGAAACAGTGGCCAGCTATGGAACTCTTTGGCACCCACAGCCCCAGCCTTTCCCTCAACCCTTTATCCCTGCACAACCACCTTGGGCTGTCCTTGTACCAGTCCTGGACCAGCCACCTTTTAGGAAGCATCTGCAATGCCTTTGGCCTTGCCTCCCCTATCCCCGGGTCCGCAGAGTCAGTGCCAAGGGGCATCTGGATTCAAACCTGGAACAAGTCGCGTCACGCCCAGGAAGGGGAGCAGCCCTACAACAATGACTCTGCCCTTACCTTGACTGTCCCCTCGACTTCCACAAACCAGCGCCTCAGCATGGCCTGGATCTGCCCGTCCGTCAGCTCAGGGTTGGCATCGTGGATCTTTTTCTTGACCACGTCTTCCAGCAGCAGGCGCCGCAACCTCCAGTAGAAGAAAGTCCGGGAGGTTTTCCACTCCAGAATGTCCTGAGCAAGGCACATGTGGGAAGGGGAGGACATGGGTGAGGGGGCAGAGCCAGCACCATACCCAGGTCCCACTGGGCAAGACAGGATCCCTCCACTCTAGCACTTCTCTTGCCCTGCCGGCACAGGTCAGGCTGCGCACCTCAGCCAGGGCTGGCACTCAGCTAACAGGCCTGGAGTTTCCCCGACAGCCCCTCTACTGCAGTAGCTGCTAAAGCAGCTCTGGCCATGAGCAGAGAGCACCTCCCGTTAGTATCTTTATACCTGCCCCCAAATGCAGAATTGGCCTGGAAAAGGAAGCTACAGGTGAGTTCCCTGGAACAGCAACTGGCTGGGGGCTCACAGCTGCACACCACAGGGCTGCCTGGTCTAGGGAAATGCTGCTGGCCCACGGACTGGGAACGCAGCTCCACGCACTGCGTGACAGCCAAGTGAGCTATGGTCAGGCTGCCCTGGGGATGGGCCTACCCGAGACCCCAGGGGTGCAGGCTGCCTCGAGGCTGCTTCCTGTCAGTGCCTACTTAGGGCTCAGAGGACTTCAAGCCATGACTTGCACTTGTCTCTCTCAGCCTGCGCCGATTCCCTTTGTTGCACAAAGCGTACAACCGGGTGACAGTGTCCAGGGACAAGGAGCCGGTCTACTCACGGTGATGACGGCTTTCTCCTGCATGCGGCCCGGCGTGTCATGCAGGTCAGCAAACTGCACAGCCACCTGGTGATAGATAGGGGTCAGGAATTCCTCCCGCTCCTTCAGCTTAGTCTCCAGCTCCTTCCGCTCAGCCTGGCTGAGCTCCGGGGTGCCTGGAATCAGACGGAGAGGCTTGGTAGAAACCCAGCAGGGTCAAACCAGAGATGCGCACAAACAGCGAGTGCTGCTCTCCAAGGAAACATTTTTAGTTCACCCAGGTCTTTAGATGACCTGGAACTTCCCAGCTCACAGTCCCACCCTTGGCTGTTCTGCTCTGTTTTCTATCCCAGCTCCCTTCCCCTGCTGCTTCCAACTTCTCACTGTCTTCTGTAGCCACCCTGAGGTCTGGAGGAGCTGGGAATTGGGAGGTCTGGGGCTCTAATCCCAGATCTGTGTGGAGCTGGGCTCAGCTACATCACTTCACTTCTGTGGGCCTCAGTTTTCCCACCTGTGAAATGAGGATAATGCTGCATTGCCCAGCTGCTCAGGATGCATTAGATGACATTTGCAAAGTGAAAATTCAGATCATCATCACCTGTGTATTCAGCTCCCTTCCCCACAAACTCTCACAGAGGTGGCAGCCTCTCAAAATGACGAAGTCCCAAGCCCAGGCAATTTCCTTAACCCTCCCCATTGCATCTGTGGTTCAGCAGCCCCTGGGACTGCCTCTGGGCAGCACAGCTTTGCTAGTGCTTCTGCCACACAGCATGACTGCGATCCCTGCCCAGGAGGAAGCTCACCACAAGAGCAGCAGTAACGGAGCACTGGGATTTATGTAAACTCATGCATGAGAGTTCAGGAGCCTTCCCTGAGAAGGGCCTGTTAAAATCACTCTTGAAAGCCACCAAGTCCCTCATGCCTGAGCTCCTGAACCAGCTGCCACTCAGGCAGTGAGGTGAACACAGCCTTGGCACAAGCAGCTCCACAGAAGCTGCCTTTTAACCCTGTGTGCACCAAGCCATGGTGCAGAGCCATCTCTACCGAGAGCCCAGTCACGTGGCACTCAACACTCGACCAAAACGTGGCAGTTCTTATGCTCACACCCCCGGCAGGGCCAGAGCAACCCTTGTGCAATGTCATGGTTACTGCTACTGAGAAGTCAAATGGCAACCAGGTCTCCCTCAATGCACCGGGCGAATGCCAACACTCCTGTACAACAGAGCACCTCCTGTCCCATGGGATAAACATCAATGCAACCTTGCACCACCCCAAGAGAGAGAGACACATGTGATTATGTTCTCAGTGTGCCAATAACAAACCCAGGCACAAAGAGGTGAGTGAATAACAGAGGTCATCAGCAGCAGAGCCTGGAGTAAAAGGCAGAAGATTTGACTCTCAGTCCCCTTTTCCTGGCCAGTGGGCAACACTCCTTTCCTTGCTATTGACTTGTACTTTGAATCTGGCTGTTACGGTGCTGTGCTTGCTATGAGCACCTCCACTGTAGCTTCCTTCCGTCCTTACAGTTTGTGAAGTGATGTCAGTGAGATTAAATGTAATGAAACGTGATCATCTAGTGTTGGGTTTGGCATTGTAAGGGGCTGTTGGGCTGGAGAGAAAGAAGAGGATGGATCACCACACTTCCTCCTCATGTTGTGCCCTATCTATTCCTCCACTTTCAAAGACAGTCGGTCTGGAAGTGCATCAAGGAGCTGGAGTGCAGGCGTGAGCACACCCTGGTTATCATCAGCACCACGGACAGCAGCAAACAAACCTGACTGCACGGCTACAACTAGCCTTGGATCAGGCCCGTACAGAGTTCGGTGGCCGGACAGTCCTCACTATGCACGAGACGTCGGCACTTCTGTAGAAGTTTCCCCACCGGATCATCATTGGGCTCCATCTCATACACCTGCAACCACCCACACGCACACAGGCATACAAACACATGTATGCTGACACATGCAGGCAGGCAGGCGCACGCAGGCTGCTCAGGATACAGTTTCAGCAGCTGCTCCACGGGGAGAGATCCCTTTTCAGCTGAGAGACCACTTTTTTAGGAGGCCTCTGATGCAAGTGTTTTCCGTGCTGTCAGATGCTAGCAGCACTGCATCAATTAAGACAATCTGTGTTTTATGGCTTCAGGGTTTTAAAAAAAATAATAATTTCTGTGCCCTGACCTCCAACCCAGGTTTTCACGGCAGTACCTGCACTTAAGCCAGCAACACTCATGCATTTGAGCCTCTGTGCCACTCTCTTGTTGTACAGCAAACCAGCTAGGCCCAGTAATGATTTAGGTGAGATTAACAAATATGTCAATGTCTATTTTCTGCTTAATTTAAAAGCAGCGTCTATAAAGATTTTTGACTTCTGAACCCTGCTCTCCTGAAAGAAAGAAGGTAACAATGGGGGGGGGGGGGG